CTTCCCAGCGAATTTATGACCGAGTTGTTTAAGGGATGTTTAGTTGTGCTTAATCCCGTAACTGCTGCACTCGCGTTTCCTAGTTCGCCTGTTTCTCGTTTCGAGCCCACCGTGCACTTCTGTTTCCCGTGCGCGTTCATGTTCCCTCGGCTCCCTTTTTTGTTCTCTGTTTTTGAAAGGCATATTCAAGCCCCGAGCTCTTGTTCCGCGCCTTGGCTAGATGAAAATCAAATGCCCGGTATATTCCGCGTTACCGCACAGACGCTCCTTTCCGTGCCCGTCTAACTCGACTTTCCTCTTTTATTCTTTATGTATGCCCATTATTTAGCGGAAATCTCGGCATAAAGTCGGCCACACCATTCCCGAGCTCATAAAGCGACAGGTGAAAAGTAAGCTTATAAAAGTAAGCTTGGATTCTACTAGGAATACTGTATTGATGATGATAATATATTTTCAATGTAGGTATGCTATGCGTGTAGCGTCTCAATATATACGTTTTCGTGTTTTATGAATCTTATTGTTAGATAATTACCTGTTCACTAATAAAATTATAATTACAAATGCTCTCACATTGTACATACATTGTTTCAGAATAATTATTTCCGATAATAACTTCAATATTTTAATAACTTTTTATTAAATTTATTAATAACTAATAAATTCATTTTCTCGATAAATTGGTTAAATATTATTTCAACAAATTGGTTCACGAGAAAAAATTAAATGTTATTTCATTTTAAAATGTTATATTTATATACTTTATCTAGGTCAACCTGGCCACCATAGCTCAATATTTTCTAAAATGTCATTACGATGAAATGCAAGTAATTAATCGTTCGCCAATATATATATATATATTCATGTTCTAATTTTCATTCACGAGAACCGCATCTGCGGTATCAAGTCCCTGTTAAGTACACGAAGTTAGCGAATTCTCTCGATGACATTTGCGTCGTTCGTTCGCCAATACTGGTTTCGCTGACCACAGTGATCTCCAAAGGGGTCGTTTGCCACGAGTTCTCTGCGTTCGGTATTTGGTGAACTTCTTGGCGAAATTAAGGTCAGAGTGGCGGAACTTGTTTAAAACTTAATTAGATAAACTAATCAAAGCGCGACTATTAGCGGTATGTCGCTGTTTTGTTCTTTGTCGAATACTCGAAGTTGTTAAACGAGCATGGCCAATAAAGGAATCATTTGGATCGTGGCGTGTACTTGACACGATTAGAAGCATCTCTATTACGGTTCTTTGATCAGTTTTATTATGTTTGTCTTTTGTAAACGAGGAATGTAAATCAAAATTTAAGTTGTAAAGCGAGCGATCTTGCGGTATTTCGTGATATCTTATACAATTGAATTATCGTTTATGATCATGTTTTCACTGGAATTTAAAACATCTAAGAGAAATGCATTGATATTCCTTCACTTGATTCGCCTTCGCTTGATTGAGTAGCGCATGAAAGAAGAACACATTTAATTTTTGAAAAATTATTGCGCCGTAAAAGCACGCGCGCCGCTAGCTAGTGAAAGGATCTCGCATTTGCGTGTACTATGTGCGTGCTGCACGTGCGCGATTACCGATTTGCATACGCCCTAGCGCCAGTTGATACAGCCGTGGTGTGTTGTTCAATGGGATCTCGGGAATCTGAAATCCGGTTCTGTTACGCGGGGTCGACCACGCTCGTATGTCGAGCACGTAGAAATTCGTGCTTTCCTCTTACCTTATCTGCCGTAGTGAGTCTCGAGAGTCCCCGCGAGACGACGCGAATCTACAAGGGGGGGGAAAGAGCAAGTTTTCCTACCTACCTACCTACCTACCTACATATCTATCTACCTACCTACATACCCACCCACCCACTCACCCACCCACCCATCTATTTATCTATCTATCTATCTATCCTCTGTTTAGTTTCTTTCCGCTTGAAGCCATCTCGACACGCCCGATATCAGTCCGATGTTTATATCTTTCCACTAGTTTCGCTTCGAAGCGGTGATATTTCTTCGGGTAATTGCTGGATCAGATCATTTCTTAGCAAACGAGGTGACCTGGTATTAGTCTGGTTAATCAAAGCTTGGATGCGCTGATGTATCTCTTCGTTTTTATCTTTTTCTTTATTTTTGTAAATTAGACATCTTATCAATCTTTTGGACAGTGTGACTACAAAATTAAGATAATGAACGTACAATATTTTAGAGATACAAATAAACATTATCTAAGAGTTTTCATGTTTAAAATAATGTAATTTATTTTGTTGTCATAACGTAATTAAGTGTAGAATTTTTTGTAATTTTATGTATATTATGAGATTGTTTAATTTCATTAACAGAATAATTTAAAAAAAAAAGAGTCCTTGAAATACGCTCTGTACGGTGTATGTTAACCATGTTTCAAACCGACTGTCTGCTTTCGAAGTGAACTTGATAGCGAGGTGGCTTACAAAGCTAATCGATCGTGGATGTTTGTGGCGAGCGTAACGGCAGTGAATTGTTTGAGTTCGACTGATTCGGATTTCATTCTACCTCTGCGTTGTAATATATCAATACAACGTATTGTGCTAATTCAGATTTCTTTGTAGATCTCTGTAAAAAGTTCAAGTCACTTCTCTTCTCAGGTGAAGCAAGATCTTATCGTAAAGTTGCAGTGACAAGACAAGATGCATTAATTAGATGCATTAATAATGGAAAAGGAGCAGCAGTTATTATAAAATAGGAAGTTTGCTTTTCATAATCCTATCTGATGCGGGCGCTGCTTTGTATGCAAATTGTCGTGTGCTAATAAAGTTAATCTACGGTTCATAAGTTGAGGTCGTAAGATTAGATGACGGAAAATAACTAGTGACGCGCCCAAGACCAAGGAGAATATGAAAAACACGTATGCACTTAATATAAGTATTTGATCGCGACCTGGTATTTACAATTTTATCAAGTTTAGTGCGCGCCTCTCGTTTTGACCTAGTTGTTGAAAATTTACTATTTGCGACCAGCTTGAAGACGGAGAGTTATGAAACGTACCTCACGAGAATCTTTTCGGAGTATTTCAGAGATTCCGATCGCCTCGGTTCGAGTAAATTGAATTAATATCGACGCTCCTGTATAGTTGTCGCGCTTTTGTTGTACGTGATTCTTCTGAAGTATTCGGCCGAGCGATTGCATCCGTGGTTGTTTGCCGCGTATGGAACGTGATAATAGACCAGATTATGAAAAAGTTTTCTGTTGTTCCTTCATCGAAAGTTAGCATCTCATTTTCTGTTCATAACGCTGTACACACACTCGCAAGCTCATTCGGGAAAAGTTATTTAACTTAAGCGATATGATTCGATACGTCGATTCTTTTGGATACAAGTCAAACAAAGTTCATCCGGAAGTTTCTTGCTGACACATATTCCCGAAGGGAAAATTTCTTTTCTTCGTAGAAAGTTGCGGTCATTTGTTTTACTTTGCTTTCACTGCGAGGATCTCGCGAATAGAAAGGTCACCGGAGGATCTAACTTTTTTCGCGATGAAACGTCACACACATACACACACACACATTTTCGTGTTTATCTCTTATAACTTGGTGTATAAATATAAAGTTGTGCACTTGAAAAAAATTTTCGACTAGCGTTAATATATCATTATTGTTTATTTGCAGGCCGTGGTAAACTCAATCGTTTCGTGTAATCGCAGTTAACTGTATTACTACGCTCGCATTATCTCCCAAAAGGAGATTCGATCCTTGTTACTTGCGCCAGATTGCATTTTATCGACTTCGTGACCGAATTAACTTTCACGAATGGTAGTTGCTAAGGGCCGAAGTTGAAAGTGTACGAGTTCTTTGTGCGAGGTAGGACAATACGGTGCGCGGAGCAGCAGTGATGCAGCTTCGCCGGTTTATTAATAACAGAACAAAATAGAGTTCGCGTAGCGCGAACTTTCTCGGCGATGGTGGATAACGACAACGTAACGCTTCTCGCTCGCGGACTGTATCGAGTGACTTACCTACCAGTCCTTACTCAACGAACCTTGTCTTCGCTCCGATAATTGAAGTTTCTTCAATTCAAGAATTCTGAAGTTTAATTCAGGGTTTTAGACCTCGGAAACTGAAAGTGTCCTCTTTTGTTCGCCTTATAATCGTCACAGTACTACATCTCACATTTAATGCTTTGCATTACAATTTGTCTGGCTCTATTATATACATATATTTCCTTGTATATTGCGCGAATTATCTCTTAGATATACATATAACGGATTTGTAAAAATTAATATTGATGCGTAACGCACTTTGCTAAAACAATCGCTTTTAGAGCTGTATTCTACCGTAAGGTCATAAAACGCCTTTGAAGTAGCCATAAACTGGAAACGCTTTATGAGGCTTTTTAAGTGATACATTCCGTAAGAAGGATGGATACCGAGCGATATATGTGTGACGCATTTAGTATACTTTCATTATGATGATATATCTCATTTTATTTTTCTCATTTTTTTAATATGTTTTACACCCAACCATTTTCTAAATTAAATTAGAATTTCAGAGAATGGATATATGTGCTTTGACGGTATGCACATAACGAGATGGAAAAGATACAAGTCATTCATATAAGATATAACATTTGTATACTTTCCAATTACGTAAGAAAAATTTATCAGACTGTATATTGTATTTTCTTTGAAAGTACGTACCTCAATAGAGAGCACTTTCATTCGTTGAAAATGGCGGATTCTATAAAAAAAAAACATTGTTAATTTATATTGTTTTCATAATTTGCAAAAACATGTTCTCTTAGTTTGGATTATATCTTCTTGACTGCGAGATATCGATGTCGCTACACGAACTTTCGCAGTATTCAGTCCTTCGCGTTATTTTGTGGTTTATCCAATTACTGGAGGATTATCGGATAGACGTATTGGAGTTGCGCGTCGTGTAAAATTGGCCTTTCGACAAGTCTCGGATTGGTAAAGCTAATGAAGGAAAGGGAGGAACGGGGAAAAAGAAAGGGCGAAAACTGTTTCGAAGACAAGACAAATAGAGCTTTTGTAGTCGACATTTTTCGTACCAAAAATTGAAACCAATGTAATTTCATTAAATTTAATTTTTTATGCTACGGATGTAGAAATATTTATTTTATATAAATCGTCACGTCTCCAGTATTACGAATACAGAAAATATGGAAATTATTTTCGCATGTCTGATGTATGAAATTATATCAAGATTGTGTAATTTTTCATGAATTACTAGATATATGTTACGATTACATATGAATTATATTTTATGGTCGGAGAATAATATATTATATATAGTTTCCTTTTAGAATAATATTTCTACAGCACTTTTCAACTTCATTTACTGCATACCGTCATTGCAAAAATCAGTATATCTTTCGTAACTTTAACCAGAGTTACGTCTAATGTATTAATAATGCGGAATTTATTACAGTCAGTATCAACTTCTCTTGATATTAATATTCATTAATATAATATTAGATTTGCGATGTCGGCATTTAATAAAATGAATTTGATATGCCTGCATTGCGGTCAATACTGCATATTCACGTAATTGTAACTAAACCATCGCTTTGAGCTTTCTCTTGTTCGACTCGTGAAACATTATCCCATATATTACATCGCTTTAAAGCACCTTCCCTATTACAAACATTATTTGTGTCATGCGTCCTTTCATTTAATATACGTTCCACTGGCAAAATGTGACTCCCTTGTTCTCTCTCACTCACTCTCTCTCTCTCTCTCTTTCTCGAAATGCGACGCATTACGTGTACGGAATACCGCCGTCTACACCATTTAGAGTAATTACTCGGCAGTGTTGAGATGTCTCCTGCATTCCCGTACTGTGCAGCATTTGTATACCCGTTACGATTAACGGAATGTTTCTATACGCGTGCCTCAAGGCGACTTCCGGCATCCTGCAGGTGAATGTTCAGAGAAAGTGAACTTTTCCCTTGAGTCCCTTTTCTTATAACGAATCTGCAAGAAAAAAATATGAGGGACGAATCTATTATCGAGCTATTAAATAATTTAATTAAAATTGTATGCACAATCAATACTACATACATACATTTTCATTTAAAGAACTAGATGATGGATAGCAGCGATTTCGAAATTTGCAAAAATATTCGTAAGGCAGAAGATCGGTTACATAAACATGTTGGAATGGGCCATATACGTTTTGATATTCGTTTCGAAGTCTAGGATGAGGAATGCAGCGTAGTGTAGGCAACGTGAACGCAATGATATCGTACTTATACCTATCATAAATATGTGCTGCAGATGTAACCACTGACCATTAAAATGTTTATGGATCAGAAGCTACGAAGTAACTTTCGAACTGTACGTAGAATATATTTGCACGATCTATGAGCTTCTTGCATCTGATATCCATGCCGCACCTTGTTTGCCTATGCTAATAATTTTCTAATAGAATCAATGACATTTTGCGCAGAGAGAGTTTTTTTTAACAAATAAATTATTTTTTATTTCAAGTATTGAGATTTATTTAGCCACTAACATTTTAGCTTGCTAAAAAGAATAATTTGGTAGGCAGAAGTTCTAGCAGAACTTTTTTTAAAGTTAATTTTTTATAATAAATATAACTACCGTGAAAAATCGTTTTCATCCCAATGTCTGGTACAAGTTCTAAATCGTCGACTCGATTCACGATTTCTCGCCCATCTTCCGAGTTATGTTCGCATATCGATACGGAAAGGGAAACGTCTCGCCTCGAGAAAAGTGTTAGTAATTTGGCGGAGTGCGTGCGACATCGTGATACTTTATCACTGTAAATGCACCGAGTTACGACACTTCCTCTCGGCCCGTGCCAGAGCGAAACATTCTGCCGTTTGCGGACGCGCGGGCGCGCCCTGAGAAATTTTCGATAAACCGATACCGCCGCACCTGATGCCTACATCGCTTTGGAAAGTCTGACGTCGACTCCGATACTCTTCCGGCAAAATATATAGCGGCCCCTTAAGCATCGCCCGTATCCACTCTTACTAAATGCGCGTCTATCGCGCTTCTTGAATAGTTCATGTCTACGCCGTGCTGTAGCCGTACCCACAACACGGCAGACGCTCCATTAATTTTACAGGAACTGTTATAGACTACAGTCGCATCCACAAAAGAACTAGCGCGCATACGTAAGACTTTCTTCGTATCTCTAAAAGCGGGATAAGCTTTACGTTGCCGACAATCTTACCGACAGCTACGCTCACATGCACTCTTTGCTCACATCTTCGCGTGACTTTTTTTGATACTATATTTGCAATTTGCTTCGTGATAACAATGTTAGATACTTGTTATCAGCTCAAGCCTCTAGGAACAGAGTCTCAGTTCTCTGTATAGGGATTTTACTGATCGTTGCTGCGGGAGCTCGACTATCGTTTCGCAAGTGACGTTTAATTATGCAATTGCTATTGGCGAGAAACCTTGTATGTGACTTTGCCAGGGTTTTGCATGATCCGTTCTCACGTATGACGCATTCCGTCTATAAAGTCGGGCGGAAAGAGAGACAACAGGATAACAAAAGCTGCAGCATTGCGAGGATTAACAAAGTGATGTGTAATGAAAAAAATGGAAGAAATATGCAAAACCCGCAAGCATAGTCGGCGACTTCTTCGTCGTCTTGATTGCATTATATCACACGCGATTTTTGCATAAAGCTTTACACGTGCATAACCGCCGCGAGAGAGCTTTAAAGCCTCGTAGAGATTCAGAGCGCGCACAAAGGTTACTTTGTTTCGCGACGCTATCGGCATTATTAACACGGCAGAATATTTTCTGCAAAGTTAATTTTTCATAAATAAAAAATGCGGTGCATAAGTCAGACTACTTCAATTTGTACGATTCGCACTGATGTAGCGAGAGCGTGGATGACGTGATGACGATCATTTCTGAGACTGTCACAATTGCTCGTAAACAGATACCGTCGCTTCACCTGAATCTTAATTAAAGAATAATTCGCTTTGAAATAGCTCTCGGTAAAAGATTGTTATTCTTAAAAAGGTTTTTGTGATGGCAGATCCCGACTAGTTTTATATCTGTGAACATCTAATGAACTCGTTAGCTCGATTTTATTTATAATTGCAGGATTTTACAAACTAATTATAATTATGTAAAATAAAGATGAGATGGTTTTTAAAAATAATATTACGTTATAATACGCACAAAAATTCATGTTGAGCTCTTCACGATATGTACTACTCATTTGGTTTTCAGTAAAATGAATGATGACATGTTCTGTATGCATGTGTGTTACAAGTTTCGATACTATTTATCAATTTTCATTGAGTAATGCGAAAATACAAATGGCGTCATGTCGCATACAATCAGATAGAAACGGAAAGAGAGTCCGATACGAAGAGAAATGCAATGGCAGATTGACAATGAAGAGCTGGGCGAGCAGTTAGGGGGAATGTAATCCCCTGAATTAAGGACCGGCCCGCTATCACCCTAACAGCACCCACGAGAAAAGCCTGACGCCGTAAGGGAGGATATAAATTGTTTTAACGCCGTTCTGATGCGATTTGACGAGGAGCATTCCCGCTGGAAGTACGGAGAGATACCGCTATTAAATAAAGGATTTCTGGTCCCCGGCTAACCCCTCTCGATTCTCCATCAGACAGATGGCGCGTGCCCATATCCCGTAAAATATGATTTGCATAAAGCCGGTCGCCTAGATCGGCGTCGCCCGTGAGCCCGTTCCCCCCGTGTGAGCCTCATCTATGTCCCGTAGTGTGTATAATCCCGTATCATAGATACCGGAGATACTGGTAACCTACGAGAGCGAGAACCCGGACGCGACACAGGCGGGTGGGCCAAAACCGCTTCTGGAATCGACGTGCGTCGCGTTCGACGTATCGATCTCGTCGCGGCCTGGACCGCGGTGAGAGCGCGTATGTTTGCTATCTATTGGACGCTCATACGGGCTCTTTTATTTTCTGGCGTTACAAATAAAAAAATTATCGAGAGAGCGACTGCGCAAATATCAGTCGCAAGTTTACGAGTTTTGACGTTTCTTCATCTCGTGGCAAAAGAGAGATTTCTTCCACATCGACATTCCTGTCCTATTTTTATAACTGATAATAAGAATTTCATTTTGCATCTTGCATCTCGCTCGCATTGCGCCACGCGCATTACTAATGGTAATTAGAAATATGCAAAAGAGTAAGCTTTATGTAACTTGTTTGTGTAATTTCTAAATGGAATACCGGGGAAGAACAAAATTTCTTTCCACGTAGATAAATTAGTCCAATTCAATTTTGTATTCGATGTAATAATTGTGAAGTGCGTGTTGTGGAGATAGTTAACTGTAAGAAATTGGCTGCGTCTCTTTTCTTTTTAGTCGGATAAGATCAGTGGCTGGAGCAAAATGAAATCGAAAGAAGAAATGAGACCAATAGAGAGAGAGAGAGAGAGAGAGAGAGAGAGAGAGAGAGAGAGAGAGAGAAAGAATAAAACAGAGAAAAGGGGGATGAAGTCAACGGGCCGACGAAAATGTAAATACCCGTTCGGGGAATATCACTCAGCGCCGCGAGAAAATTAACTCGAAAAATTCTTTCTCGGTGGGTAAGCAGAGACAAAGAAAACGCAATGCCAAGGGTGAACTCTTAAAACGGGGAAGGAAGGAGAAAGAGGAAGAGAAGAAGGAGAAACAGGCAGCAGTGATACTCTTCTCTCTTCCCTTCGCACAGAGTATTGCGACAGTCTTACATCGCGTCGGAATTCATTTCAATGAATTTGCATTTCAGGAGAGAATAATTCTCTTCGGCCTTGTCTCTCATTCTTGTTCTCCCTCTCTCTCTCTCTCTCTCTCTCTCTCTCTTCTTTTTTTCCTCTCCTCTTTACTTTCCTACTTCCCATCGATATTTGGCCAATCTTTCGATACCCTTTATTCGATTGCTTGTTAATTAACATCGGTAGTTATTATTTGCTTTTCATCGGTTCATCCTTTTCTGTCTTCCTCCCCTTCACCACCGATCGTATGTCAACGATGCGTTGGAACAGAGTGGGAATAATTGGTAGGACTTGCTAGGTTTCGCTCGAACGACAGTATAGCTTCGTTTTTCTTTGAGGGATATGGATCCATGCCAGAGAAACCAGATAAGAGGGAAAGTTTTCGACAAGTTTGCCGGCTATTCGCAATATCTACGTTTTCGTGTAGTTCAAAGTGTAATCTTTCTTTACGTTGAAATCTGGTTCGCGAGTAATTACAGTAATATTTTAATTACAGAGACGAGTAGAGAGGTTCTCGTTACTATTCATAAATGGTGTCGACTTAAATGCTATTTATATTTGCATAAATGTGAGTTTAAACCTCAAGAGGATAGCTTAAAAAGGATAGAGGATATGTTACTGACTGCAAAATATTCCCGTTGTGCATACGTAATTTACCAGAAGTCTCAGTAGAAATCCTAGTTTAGTATTATTGCAATTTAAATTGCTATAAGCTATTCATGTTTGACTACTAATTAATCTCAAGAGATGGAGAGTCACATCGGAGGTATTTTATTTCTTACAGAAATTTGTTACATGTTCTCTTCAAGAAGTTTTACATACATATAATTGAATTAAATATGTGAACACATTATTCGAACAATCGAACATTGATTCTTTTTAATAAACATGCAGTCGATATTCTTAATTTATATTAAACTCGTTTTTGTTATGTTTTATGCTTTTATGTCTCGTTTGTATTATTACTTAAAAGGTTTCTTCTCTACAATATTATTATTATCTATTATTTTATTTAGACAACTGGCATCTTATTGTAGTACTTACAATGACGCTACTTTTCTTTTTATACGTCTCATTGTCTATCAGACTATACGTAATATCATTTCGATCGCAATTGTTACTTGACTATTTTACGACTTCTTCTTTTTCTCCGTGGTCTATACGCGACGGAAAGGAAATAATCAGGGAAAAAAACCATTCGTCACATTTACATATCAAAGAAAGTTGTCGATCTA